ATTCCGAACGGTAACATTGGGTTATATATCCCCTACCTTTGATCTTCTTAGCCTACATATCCCTACCCAGTTAACTGATCTTCCACCTTTGATTAGTAGATATTCCGGACACAGACAGTGTAGGTATTTTAGATATGGTATAGATTAAGTATGGACGGACCCTTCGGGCAAATTTTGTAGCAGGAAATGATCGACGACGATCACCACGATCGTCTCGCACCCTTCTACAATACTACTATTGAAATGACTATTGGACTATTTTCCTACTAGTTAGATCCACTAGATGTCATTTTAAGTAATTTTGGATGGGGATTTATATCGGAGTTGCCGAGGTCAAGGTTTTACTGCGTACGCCATATTATTAACTCTTACGTGGTACATACCGGTGGCTACTGGAGGATGTGAGGCGCCGCTGAAAAATAAGCAAAACTACTACACGATAAAGAACTTACCAGCAACCCGTCTCCAGGAGGCCCCACAGTCCTCTCTTCCCTCAATCCCATGGCGACGTATTATGTCGATCGAAATCTAAAAGATAAGCCAGTGAAAGGCTCATACGGTCTGTATTCCGGTCTAAGTAGACGCATGCTGGTAATTATTATTTAAGATGTAGCCAAAGCCAGGCATGTCTGAACCCATTCCAACCCCATCAGCCATTCACCTACAGTTTCCTTTCCTTACATGCTTAGGTATCCATCGAGCAACATGAATGACAATGCAGTGGCGGCCCTTGTCGATATGAAGGAGCGAAGTTTGTTGGAGAGTTTTGATAAGTCTTACCATCCAACCTATGGACTGGGTACCATGTCTGGCAATATATACGATACCGCATGGATTGCAATGGTCAGAAAATCCATCCAAGGTAAGTCCCTGTGGGCGTTTCCAGCTGCCTTTCAGGCCCTTCTACAGCAACAAAACGAATGTGGTAGTTGGGGTGGAGCCACGTCGGAATTGGATTCCATTGCCAGCACCTTGACAGCCCTTCTTGCACTACAAAGACATGCGAGAGACTCCTCTGAGACAGACCGTCAAGGCCTCAACTTGAGGATCTGTAAAGCGAAGACATATTTAGATACAGCTTTGCAAAGCCTCAATCACCTGCTAGCAACATGTATTTTGCCTGTTAGTCTGGAGCTTCGATTACCAGCGATATTTGATCTCCTGGAAGCGGAGGGGCACACATTCGACTTTGATCGGACATACTTGATCAAGGTTCAGTCGAAGAAGCTTTCAAAGATCAACTTGGATACTATTTTCAGTGGCCCACAATCTTCTCTTTTACACTCATTAGAAGCTTTGATTGGGAAGATCGACTTCAAAGGACTGGCCCATTATAAAGTTCTTGGCAGCATGTTAGCATCGCCATCGGCGACAGCAGCGTATCTGATGTATAATCCTGTGTGGGATGATGAGGCCGAGGAATACATTCGGTGTGCAATCTCCAACGGAGCTGGTCATGGATCAGGGCTTGTGTCTGCGGGATATCCAACCACAGTTTTTGAATGGGCATGGGTATGTTTTATTCATGTGTGTAATATGATGAAAATTCTAATCCAGGAAAGGTGACAACGAACTTAATATGCCATGGCATCAAACCAAACAGCAGACTTGAAGAAATTGGCAAGCAGATCGAAAGCGAGATTAAGCTGCATGGAGTAGTAGGATTCGGTAGAGTGTCTTTACTCTAGACGTTTTTTTCTTTCGCTAATATACTGTGAATAGTCCCGAAGGCATGTCCTGATGCGGATGACACGGCCAAGGCTTTAGCAGCCCTTGCGCTTCAGGGAATACACTACTCGCCACAGGCATTGGTCGATCAATTTGAACGAGAAAGCCATTTTACAACATATCTATACGAGACGCATACTAGCATAAGTACCAATGCTAACGTTCTTACTGCTCTGGTGTTGCTTTCAATCGATGATCGCTACCAGCCACAAATTGAAAAATGTATTCGCTACCTGTGCGAGGCGTGGTTTAACTGTGACCGAATGGTAAAGGACAAATGGGTATGTCTAACTTATAATCGTAGAAAATACGGGTTTTGCTCTAACATTACTAGAACATCTCGCCTTATTATCCGACGATGCTGATGTGTGAAGCATTGATGTCTTATATCCAGCGCTGGAGCGAAGGACATCTGGCCGCATTACCCGACGATCTTATGAAGTTTCAACTTCCTATCACGCTTTGTCAGGCCTTAAGCCGAACATTGCGCACCCAGAATCAAGATGGATCCTGGGGAATCTCGGACTCTGCTGAAGAGACCGCCTATGCTCTCCTGATTCTAAAAAGTGTGGCATCTTTTAGTTTCACTGATATGATATCGGCCGAGGTTGAAAATGCAATTAGCAGAGGTATCCAGTTTATTCTTACCAAAGGGCAGCGGTCAGAGACAGACGATCAGCTTTGGTTGGACAAAACCTTGTATACCATACCGACTGTGTCAGACTCCTATATCATAGCTGCTGTGAAAGCTGAGGACACTGTCGACAAATCTGCCGAAATACCACATAAGCTCGTTGACATATCAACAACAATGGTTGTTAAGATGGCCGAGTACTTTTCTCGATTGCCATCTCAGATGGAAACACCGAAGTGGGTTATCCAAGCTTCAGTTATAGAGGCGATTCTTTTTAGTTACAAGCTAAAGATGCTGGATGTATTCTCGACCGGAAAAGCTCTTGGAGATAAATACATCAAATATGCCGCCTGCTTCTGGATACTGGCTAACAATTCAAGCCCTGAGTATCTCCTGAGTACACGGATAATCTACAGCATGGCAGAACTTTCCGTTGGCATATTCCAAGAAGACGAATTAATGGAAAAGTCTTTGGTGAATCTACCGGATTCTACCACCGGCATAATAGCCGGCTATATTGATGAACTTTGCCACGAAACTGCTCTTTACAAAGATAATTCTCTCCACGGACCTTCATCTGGAACAAATATCTCTGATATGGATGAGAAAACTCTTACTCTCCTCAAGAGCATGCAACAAAACATAGGAGTCTGGTTCCGTTTTGTTTTGGATGATAATCTCAAGCCAAACACAAGTCCAAATGATAGACGCGAGCTACAAGAAGAACTGAAGATGGCGGTTTTGGCTGCTACACAACAAGCTAAAGCGCACAAGTCACTCAACGGCAGCCTTCCACATTCTGACACAGAGCGTGTTACGCTTGGTACCGGTCAGACATTCTATAACTGGTTACATACATCTGCTGTTCATGACGTCAAGAGCGCGCTTGTCTCCAAATACCTTATCTGTAAGATTGGGAACGGTGGAGATGTCTTCACTACAGCCAGAGAAAAGTACCTTGCCGAGAAGCTATGGAGGCAGATATCCATAGAAGGTAGGCTTTGGAATGACTTGGGAAGTATTGAGCGAGACCGCCTTGCATCAAACCTCAATTCAGTCAACTTTCCCGAATTCTCGTCTCCCCAAAGTATCAAGTCAGATGGTGATGTGGAGACGCAATTGACTCAACTCGCGGAGTACGAACACAAGTGCACTTTATCGTGTTTGGACGACTTAACACGGATCTTGGAAAATTCTGGTCGTCGAACGATCTCGCTGTACCTACAGATGTATTACCGCTGTTGTGTGATCTATTCTGAAACGTGTGTTACGTATGCTTTCGGCTCCACCACGGCGAAGTGAGCAGCGGGTATAAGGAAGAGATAGAATGTCTGTGGCGTTGCTAGCGAAGAACACAGCACGCAAATAAAGAACGGGCCTCTAGTTCCTTGGGAAAAGTCCGTGTTACAAATAATACGATGCTCAGTATAGGGCGATTAACCATACCCCTGGTCCTTCCGGGTCTTGCAAAGATGTTGCATGAGCATTGTGGTGCCTAGACCACAGTCAATAAGCTGATATGTAGTCAATCCAATCTAGTGTGTTTATATGGATGTCTTGTATGCTGGAGCAATGGATAATCAAAAAGACTACCTCAATAGTACATGTAAATTCATCTTACCGGAAACATGGTATCGAATAAAAGAGATCCCCTCAAGACGCCATTAGCCAAAAGTCGATATCGTCATGAATTTGGGCTGGATATAGTCAGACGTGTTGCACAATCTGGCAGATCACCAAAATATTTACAATATGAGAACATCAAGCCTTCGATGGGTAACATGCACTCGAAGCTAAGTTACAGATGGGCAGCCACAGTAGCAGTCCTGGGAACCTCTGGGATGTGTATGCCTTTATGCTGACGCCCTCGGGTGTTTTCTGTAAGTCAATCTTGATAACACTACGAAGAATGTCATATCAAATTTAATATTAAAGCCCACCAACTACTTTCTGTTGATCTCGGATCGCTCCGGCACACTGGTTCAATACTCTGGGAGCGCTCAGCACACGCACTCCTGTCTATCCCCACGCTCCGGGAGCAATCATTGAGCAAAAAGCGGCCCTGAGCTAGTCCCGTTCCGGAAGAAGAAAGTCCCAAAGTTTCCGCAGGAAAACAGTTCGCTAGTAGATATACTATAACTGAAGTTCTGTTTCTGCAATGGAAGTCCCGTCGGCTTGCCCGATGTGGATGCCGCCACTTTTGTAAGGGCACCACGTGAGCGCTCCGTCAGTAAGCGCCAGAGGACACTCACTGATCGCTCACTGAGCACATACCTGGTACTCCAGAAACTCCCATCTTTGGGCTGTGAAATCAAGTGGGATTAAATGCTCAAAAGACAGGGGCATTTCTTCCGATTCAGCTTCTCTTCCTCTTCATTTTCTTCCGGTTACCTCCTTACATACGTACCATGCCGTCCCATGTGGGAGTCATTGTTAATCCGTCTGCGCGCCGCGTTGCCTGCGACCAGTGTCATGCTCAAAAACTGCGTTGTACAAAACTAGAAAACTGCACTGTGTGTATTCGATGTCAGCGTCTGAACCGTCAGTGTATCTGGAGCCCTCCATCGCGGAGCGGCCGCCCAGCAAAGACTACTGCTGATGAAACGCTGGTCAGGCGTAATAACGCGCAGCAGAAGCGTCGCAAACGATCGTTAAGTGCTCTAGAAATGACACCAGAAGAGGATGGTCGTCCGGACAGTGCGCGAGAGCATGTTCGTTCCAACTCTATCAGTACTCTCGCTCATACCGACTACAACAACCGTCCTCAGCCCACCCCTACGGCTGTCGGGATATCAGAGGTACCGCGAGGGACATGGTGAGAAACGAAGACCACGCCTGCAGCCAGCTCTGCGCAGTGGTATAGGCCTGGAAGCTGAATCGATCCCCATATTGCTCGGTTCGGTCCCCGTATCGCTGTAGGAGTGACCAGGTGCGCATGACGACAGCTTGATCCGTCATCGCGGAGGGGTTGAAAGTGAGGTCGCCGAGAAAGCGATCCCGCCGGACGGGGAGGCTCGGAGCGAGATGAGGCCGATGCGGTCCGGTGTCTGGGATACAGGATGCGCGTGGTGCACTGGCAGCCATCATCTGCCGGGGCGAGTACGTCTCTAGACCAGCGAGGATGCTTGCAATGGTCCCCCCGCTGTAACCGGTCCAGGAATGCTGAATTGTGAAGAATATGGGTCCAAGAGGACGGCGCAGTCTCCGTGCCAGAAGGAGCGTCATAAGGTCCGGGGGACTTGACTCCACGGCGCATTGTGGAATAATCTGCTCTGTCAATCATCTCTTTATACATCGTTCTGCGAGGAGCAATACAATTGCCTTGTGGGCCATCGCCTTTTCGTGCCACTGCGCTGCCAGCTGCTGCGTCCAAATGTGTTCCCTCGTGGAATCCACATAAGCGGTGGAATGCTCTATACAGGCTGCCACAACGGGTGTCCCATATTTGCAAAAAAGTAAGGGACATACTCCGACGGTGTTGAGCACAAGGCGTGTTTGGGAGGCCATGCGCCCCAAGTCCTCGCCACTGAGGGCAACTACCATGATATGAGGTAGCTTGCGGTGGGATTGGGATTGGTCCAAAGAGTTCACAACGGTTGCCAGCTTTTGCTCGCTGCGGCCAGCAACAGCCCATCGGAGGGCTGGCGGACCATGAGTCCACAGATATTGCACCACCAGAGACCCCAGGTAGCCGGTGGCGCCATACACAATCAGATCATACGGGCGGTTCATTTCTTCTCGGTCAAAGTTTCACACATACAAACATGAGTGGGAAGTGGGAGTAGCATAGTTGGGACCGAATGAACCTATTGAGAGGTCATGAATGAATGAGTGAATGGGCTCTTCCTCTTCTAACCGCTTTTGGCAAAACCCGCCGAATGTGCATTTATGCAGGTCAGTCACTCCTGGATCAGCGTGAGTGAGGTATAAGAGAATTCACGAGGAAATATGGCAGTAATGACATTTAATAGTTTGGAAAAGCATCAGTTTGAGTGAAGATGGCAGCACTAGTCTTCCTTCGCGTTCTTCCTCTTCTCACTACCTCGTCCTACCTTACTTTCACAATCGCTGAGGGCCTCTAACTTCAAGCCCTACCTAGAGCCCTCGGTCGTCGGCGTTGCCGATCACCTTCTCCCATCTTATATTACCGTGTGGTACAACCGGGGCATGGTTCTTATCTTAACCATATACCCGATAACCTGGTGCACAGCCATTGCGAATCTTCCCGTGGCCCATCGGTGGCATACCATTATCGCAGCCTTCGTCTTGTATCTCCTCGGACTCCTCTTCAGCATCGCGCACATGCTTTGAAGACCTCAAGCATTGAATCTCCTAAACTCAATTAAGAAGCAGGGCAGCTCAGGAAGCACGGATATTCTTCGTCGTTGGTGTCGAATGAATTTGATTCGGGGCGCCTTGGTGGACGTGCGGCCTGGGGCTGTTTTCTGGCTGAATTTCTTGTATGGGAAAGTGCGCGGTAGCTTGAATCTTACCTCAGAACTAGATCAGGACTCTATCATTTTTCCTGGGTAGCTTAGGCGTCGGGATGTCCAGCTTCATCCAAATTCGGCAGAGAGCAATCGGGGGGGGGGGGGGGTTCGGCTTTGGACGGTTGTACTCAGCGCATACTAGTCTGTAGAACTATATACACATATAGGGAGAAAATAGCCATTATTGTGCCCCAAAGCGCATTATACAGGCCTTTGAGTCAATTCGGTCAGGATCAGAAACAATGGCTACTTCCAGGAGTCCCAATTTTATAATTTCAAGATGTTGGACCGTAACCATTCTGCAAGCCCTAATGTACTTCTGTACACACATCTAACTTTTCCACATTTGCGACAGGAACCTGGTCAACAACGACGAGACCAGAAGATCCGGAGGTGCATTTAGTTGAATCACTACTAAGCGAGTAATTATTATCTCCCATTGGTTCCGTTTCTTTTTTCTTTGTTTTTTTTTTTCTTTCTTTCATTCGGTGGGTTTTACCCCAAATGGAAGTCCGCCAAAGATACTATTTTATATTCAAGCCGACTCCTATAAAACCGAGATCAAAGCCGGGCTACTGCTTTTCGTAAGGGTAAATCTGTCAATCGACTCGATTCACCGATTTAACCAATTTGACTATCATGGCTGCTGTCGAGAACGACACACCGACAGCAACCAGCACTGATGCTCAAGCCACCCCAGTTTGGCCTTTCCTGGATGCAACTGATTGAAACCTTTGTAAATCTTGGTCGCATTTCCCTGGGCCAAGTACTCCCCCTGCTCTCCATTCTCACGCAGGGAGAACATCTGGAATGCCTGGGTCGCCTGTGCATAAGTTGACAAACCCAAGGCAAATAATATATAAGTCTGGAACTAGTTCAAGCCGCTCCTTTATTAGAGCAAGTGCTCTCAGACACCCATAACCCAGCCTAGTAAATGGAGTTTTTTTTCCAACGCTGAAGCCATCCAGATCCTTAAGAGGCTTGGCTTATTTAGAGGAATTGTTCATGAAGATTGTACTGTCCCATGTAGCGTGTGGGACAGCCCAGAGTTTCTTTTCTGTAGGTACTTTAATTTATTCCTGCTTTAGGTGGCATACAGAAGCTAACAAGAAGTTTGGGCCAACGCCTTGATGACTATTTTGGAATTTGGCTGTACTCTTTAAAAGCTCACCGAGCAGGACCTGGATCACTGCGTGATTTACCCGTTTTGGGGATGCAATTCAGGAGCTGCTGGATGGATGCGAAGATACTGATCACCCAACGTATCCTTGGTTGACCTGGATGATGTTCCCGTATTTGCAGTATAGTCTGTCTACAAGGTGGCTCAGGTACTACTGGGTCTACTGAGGGACAGTCCACGGTTTGACTGCGGGAGAGTTGTTGGTGCCCTGCAAGCCCTGCTGCGGTGTATGAGTAGCCGATGACTGGCTGGGAGTATGCCTCTTGCGTGGTACGGGTTATGGCTTGGAACTCTAACTCGACGGCAGAGCAGTATCTTGAGACTCTGGAAAGACAGAGAGAGGGGTATACAGTTACATCTATACTATGATTTTAACATACTACAAGTTAGAGATATACAGTGTATTAGAGCGCTCTTCCTGATCGAGAGATGAAAATATTAATGAAAATGTGCATAAAGTAGTGTTTCGTGTATGATTGTGACAACACCGACCGTTTGTGAGCTCACTCATTAATTATAATTTAGTTGGAGAGTTTATAAGTAGTAAGATAACGATTCCTATCCCAGATTTTCTAGACAATAGCGAGTTGCCTGATCCACAAGCCTAGTTACACAATGAGGTTATCATGTACACGATAACGTACCATCCCAAGCCCCTATTCCGCGCGAGAAGCTTCGCACTAGAGTCCATAGGACATAGATATATACATATATATATATATCAACGAATTGTCCAGGTTCCTTTTCCCTTGATAGGAACAGGCTCAGGGTAAGGAAGAGGTGGGACAAGTGGACCTAGAATTGTTACGGGATGACCCTTACTGGTGATGAAGGGTAGCGTTATAGTAGCTGGGCCCATAGTTGCGCCTTGGGTCATGTCTAAAGTGCCAATGAAGGCCACCAACTCAGTATACTGCAAGATGGCTAACTCAACAAAAAAGGGAATCGGTGGTGAGAATGTTCCAGTAACCTGAATGCCAAAACCGTTCCCAGTGGTAAAATCACCCTCCCAGTTTCCATCAACCCCCCCTTTGATAGTGCTGTTGCCTTCGCTCATCTATTTCTGAAGTTAGAGTATATCTTACTACCACGAGTAGGACAACTGGAGTAGTAGAGGCCGGGGACTTACAATGACTGAGAATTGAATAAACCTCTATCGGTGAGGAACAGTTCTATTTTTTGGTGTCTAGGTACGAGCCAAGGCGACGTATTTATCAATAGAAAAGCAGACCAGGATACATATACTTGCAGCTAGCGGTATGTATAGTGTGAATGCCCCTGAGCAAACTTAATCAATTCGCTATTTCCCCATTGTTAGCATTGATGAAGAGGTGGCGGAATCATAACAGAGGACAAGGGAGGGGGGTGATGGCAAGGGTATAAATAGAATGACCCATATCTCATGACTTCCTAAACTGAAGTGAATAAATAGAACATCCCTTACTCCCTTACTGGAGCGGAATTGAATGGGGTAATCCCTTTCGGTTGCAGTATATTAAAAGTGTGGCCTACACGCTGGAAGTGGGATGTTCCCAGTTAAAGTAACAGGTTCTCGATAGTGAGCGTTATTTTACGACTATACTAAGTAGATCTTCAAGCACATTGCTGCAGATCTAGTTCAACAGGGCATACCAAATCTAGATTCCTCTAGACCTCTGAAAACTTGTAGTGCGGGCTAGATACATGGTGGGCTATAACTCGATAGCCAGATGGCTTTAGACATGATCTTCTGTTTCTTTCCGTACTCATCCATCTCCATGCCAGGTTCTTGTGATAGAAGCCAAGAGCAAATTACCTCGCCCAGCCAAAGCGGATAAAGCCTGAGACTGCCTGCTTTCCACTGATAGGTGGCGTGATACGACCACTGATTGAGACTGTCTTGTTTTGGACATTCTTAAGATTAAGTTTCAAGTCGGCTGCGCCAATATATGACGGCGGGTCATCAATAACAATGTTGTAAGTACCTTGGAGATCGGCCAAACTTTCGTAGGTGAGGGTCACGGTAAATGCCTGAAAATTGTCCACTGATTGGGAGAATGAGCCGGTCACTTCAATCTGGTTGCCCTCCGCAAAGAATCTGCCTTGGAAATTCTGACCAAATCCGTCGAGGCTGCCTTGTGCGGTCATCTAGTATATATTAGAATAAGTTTCCCATATTAAAGACGGGGCATGATAAAGTATTTATCAATCCCCGCCGGTTAGACTCACTTTGACAGCGAGAAAGGATAGTATAAGATATAATTTGGGACTTGTTGACTGGTTGGTTTCTGCGATTTGATTGTTTTCTTCTCAAGCTGAATCCACAGAGAGAAAAACGACATGTTTATATAGAGATCAGGTATTGTACCAAAGAGAGATGCGAAGAGGGGTCCGGGCAGGCTTGACCTAATTCGAAAGGTAATGACAGATTATCCTACAGGATCAACATGTCTAGTAACGTCAGCCATGCAGAAATCACATCAGAGAATGCGGCATTTTTGTCCGTTCAGAGAAATAAGATGAGTCACGCCTACAACCGTGGTATTGGGGGAGGCGAGGAGGGGACGCGACGGGACTTGACTTATCATTGCCTTGCAGAAACCACTGACATAGAGTCTATAGAGCCAATATGTCTAGCGACGTCGGCCATGCAGGAGATATCACACGGAGATAGTCCTTGGTTTACTTAATTATAACATATACCCATAAACCCCCATTATAAGCAACTAATTCAGCAAGCCATTCAAATTGCTTCTATCGGGGGATTGCTTATAGTGAAATTTCTATACAGATCACTAGAAACCCTGAGGATTCTAAGGAATTTCGTATGGTAATCGATTTCAGACACCCAATTAGATTGCTTATAGAGGGGTTTTACTGTAGGGATTTGTTGCGGGGAAGGGGTGTGGAGGCCCGTGCTTTACTAGGCAAATGTGGCCTGCAGCAGCGGTCCGTGACGTGGCACTTGATTCTCCGATATGTATGTAAAAAGCCAGTAAACGTAAATTTGTCGCATCTCTTCTTTCCTATATTGGCTGTTGATATTGTGGATACCAAATCTAATTAATAAGATGAGTAGCCCTATTGCAGCATGGGGATAGTAAATGGAATAACAATCTTGTTCGTGATGCACTGCATTCCAACTCATCATCATACGTGTCACTGCATCAGCATGGGGACTAATGCTGGACTGTCATTGGCAGTGCCACTGTCTAGCTGAGCGACTATCATCTTCCGGCGTGGCCAGGTCAACAATCTTGAAGCTGATCGAGGGCGGATGGTCACTGGTCAACCGAGAAACCATGGGAAACATCCAGTATAACCTTTGACGTCATATTGCTGGAGTAGTAGCCGCTGATAGTAGTGGATTGTAAAGGTCAGCAACATGATACACCTAGCTAGGCATCAGAATCAAATACGGGGGTAAAAGACGCCTCCAGTAAATAGAACGCTGGATCGCTGCCCCTCGTCCGCTCGGTTCGATCACCTGCTTTAGCGGGTATGTACAGTGAATGAGAATGAAGACTGCATGAAGAGCAATGATACCATACGTGCATATTCTCTGCAGTAGGGGCTAGGACGTATCAGGGACTAAATTGGTTGATCTCCGCTACCAGAACGACGGAATTAAGATCCGGGAGGGGGAAGAGCGTCGGAGTGCACGGACGAGAAGCTCCTAGTACGTACTTCCCATCCTTGCGCAGTTAACCGAGCCATAATGTAGATAAATGGAATATCAGCGTGGCAGCGAGCATATCACCGACCGAAGATACTATCTGAGTGACCAAAAAGTCAACCGTGAGCAATTCGGGGTTTTAGCGTGATGGACATTACGGCCCGTCCTACTAGAATCGATTGAGGCTGACGCTGTCCAATCCATATTTTGACATCTGGCATGTGTCTTGGTTGGACTAAGATTGTAGAATACGGGTAGAGCGCTGCTACCGCGTGAACCAAAGTGGAGAGGAATCAAAATTTTGGTAGCTGCTTCTCGGGTATTTTGTAGATGCTGTCATATATGCTCTATATCGCATAGCGGGCTTTGCAGTTTAGCTTTCTACGTGGTCCTAGTGCATGCGAATCTCTCACTAATAGCTGATATGAGGGGAGTCCTGGCAACAAAGCTCTAATTGCCCTATTATATTTCCATTTATCTATTTATTGCCCTTTCACTACATCAGGGCACAAGCAAATCAACTTCCCAAGGACCCCAAAGTGATCCAGTGTTTTTGGCAGCCTCCGTACATTGGTGGCTGTATATCGGTACTAAAGCTCTATCCGCTACTTAAGTGAGGAGATAACCTAAGACCCTGTAACCAGTCGTGTGTGAAAGAAAAGTTTGAGTTACCAAAACCAATGTATAATGCATTACCTAAGGGCTAGATGAAAGGGTTAAAGCAGAATAATAAGGGGGGTGCAGGATACAAATTCTAACAAGAGAGTCAGCAGCCAGCACATTTGGTGGACCCTTCTCTTCCTGCAGGGCTACCAATACATAGGTGGCCCATTCGTATCTGCCACATCAAATATCGTTTATGGGGTGAAATGGTAGAATAAGGTAGCAGAACAACAAGCGTGGCCTCTTTCCTATAGGCATTTGAAATGTATCTAAGGTAAATTCAAGGAAACTAGTACCTAGATTGAACCTCACTGAGAATTTTAAAGGTCTGCGTTGTACCCATTTCCGGCGCTGACGGGTATGGATCATTTCATATCATTCCAGGTAAGCTCGGCCCGGGCCGCAATGTCTCGTCTCACCTTCCGGTTGCATCGTAGGGTAGGCAAGTATCAGACCTAATCCAATACATAGATAAGGTGCAAAATCAGGTTCTATTCGGGCCTTGAATTAGTAGCTAGAAATGAAATTGAAATGGCGGAACACTGAAAATATTTTCGCAGCGGGTTTACCGGTTTCGCGTGGCACTGGAAGTTGGCAGAATATGACATGACACCATATAAATTGTCACATCCTTAGTATAAAGTTAAACCGTAACTATCATGTATTTAGTATGATTGGATAATATTATCTGCATGGGTTCTGGGAGACATCAGGGCTGGCTGAAGGTCAACAAACCTTATTGGGCGTCAGCTGAACTGCGGAAATCTATGCTCTGATGTCTTAATTAAAATCTTGAATTCTCTGCCACTCTATACGCTTCCTTGCAATCTCGAACAGACGCATAAGCATGGTATACGTGACAAGATAGGAAATGAGGCCATATTGAAGTGAAATCCAAAAAAAAAAAAAAA